CGCCGATGCCCTGGACCTGTGCGAGGCCTTGCGTGCCGTATCCGCGAATTGCCCGCCCGACCCGCGGGATCTGCAAGAAGAGGGCCGCCGCGCATCGCTGCAACGCACCCTGCTGCAGGGCCTCGTGGACCTCTTCGAGCGGTGCCGCCTGCTGACCGCTCCAGTGGAGGAAAACGTTGCCGACCTCGTCGACCTCCATTTTCGAGCACACCATCGAACTCCAGGACCTCCTAGACAGGCCGCGGTCGGTCGCCTCCTTCATGCTGCGGTGCACTAACCGCGCGCTGGCACAACGCGGCCATGTGGAGGTGTTCGAATTCTTCCTGTTGGGCTTGTCCTGAATCTGGCAGCGCCGCCGCATACTGCCGCGCCTACATGACCTCCTCCTCCTCCTCCTCCTCCTCCATCCTCACTCCTCCTCCTCTGCCCTCCTCCTGCCTCCTCCTCCTCCTCCTCCCTCTCTCCTCCTCCTCCATCCCTCATCCTCCTCCCTGTCTACCCTTCTCCTTCTCCCAGTCCTCCCTCCTCCCTCCTCCTCCTCCCACCTCCTCCTCTCCTCCTCCTCCCTCCTCCCTCCTCCCTCCTCATCCTCCTCCTCCCCTCCTCCTCCCCTCCTCCTCCTCCGCCCCACTCCTCCTCCTCCCCTCCTCCTCCTCCTCCTCCTCCTAACTCCTCCTCCTCCCTCTCTCCTCCTCCTCCTCCTCCTCCCTCCTCCTCCTCCTCCGCCTCCTCCTCCTCCTCCTCCTCCTCCTCCTCCTCCTCCTCCTCCTCCTCCTCTTCCTCCTCCCTCCTCCTCCTCCTCCTCCTCCTCCTCCTCCTCCTCTCCTCCTCCTCCTTCCTCCTCCATCCTCCTCCGCCTCCCTACCCTCCTCCCTCCTCCTCCTCCCTCCTCCTCCTCCTCCCTCCTCCCTCCTCCTCCTCCCTCCTCCCTCTCCCTCCTCCCTCCTCCCTCCTCCCCTCCTCCCTCGTTCCTCCCACCCCCTCCTACTCCTCCTCTTCCTCCTCCTCCTCCTCCTCCTCCTCCTCCTCCTCCTCCTCCTCCTCCTCTGGAGCCTATGCCAGGTCTGTTCCGCTTCGCAGGACAGCCCGAGAATCAGAGGAGGACAACGACGAGCGCGCCAACGAGGACTCCCGCGTGCGCGTCCAAGCCAATCTCGAAGAACGCGGAACCGAGAAGCCCCCGCAGCTCCGCGGCTCGATCTTGCAGGAGGCCCACGAACCACCATCACTGCTGGTTGCAGGACGCATCCATGGGAGGCTCTATCTCCTCCATCTTGGGCGCGCCTTCCCCACGCACGAGCGAGGCCAGCTTCCGCATGAACGGCTGCGGCTTGAGTCTGCGCCTCTCGTCGTCCTCTTCCAGTTGAAGGCCCCCGCGGTCTGGGAATGCATCTGCTGGGCGATCGCCTCGTCGTCAGCAGTCACCGGACCCCCGTGACATGGAACGTCTTGCGGCGGGCACTCGGCCCCGCCCTCCCCCTCAGAGCCTTCGAACAGGGCGGGGGGGGACCCTTGGTCAGAAACTGCGTGGCCGACCCCGCCAGGAGCAGGGCCGCCTCGGCGCGGCCGTCGGCCTCCACCGCCCGCAGCGCCATCCTCGGCCAGCCATCGACCTCCAATCCGAAATCACTGCCGATCTCGTACGCGGTGACCTCCTGGGCAACATCGCACTCCTGCGCATCCACGGTCGGTTCCACAGCCTCCCGCGCTCCAGGCGCCAGCCACAATAAACCCATCGGCTGGAAAACCGCCGCATCTGAGTTCAACTGGAACTCATCAGCCCGCGCACTCTTGCCCCCTGCGGGCAACGAGGCCTCCGTCGCGTCCTGCAGTCGAGGTCCGTGCTGTGCACGCTGAAGCTCTGCTGGCCCCGCCGTCGAAATATGCATGCCCATGGCATCAGCATGTATGGCCACATGCCTGCGCAGTCGGGCGATGCCGCTACATGCCTTGCCCTCCAGTGCCGCGCGCAAGGCGGGAGTGACAGCCATGAGCCTGTCCAGCACCTGACTGTCCGACTCCAGCAACGCACTCATGAAGTCCATGAGGGCGGCATTCTCACGCTGGACGCTAGCCAATTCATCTGCAAGCTTGCGCACCGCGCGGTCCGCCGATGCGCGTGCCCAGTCGCGTCGAGCCTTCGCTGAGCAGCCGCAAGCCGCTCGGGGCGCGCACCTCCCGCGCCCATCCCGTGAGACACCCCAGTCGCGCCCGCGGCCGCCGGCCCAAACCGTTTCCTCCTCCTCCTCCTCCTCCTCCTCCTCCTCCTCCTCCTCCTCCTCCTCCTCCTCCTCCTCCTCCTCCTCCTCCTCCCTCTCTTCCTCGTCCTCCTCCTCCCCCTCCTCCTCCT